GGGCGGGGGGGGTGGCAAAGCCGAGAGGCAGGCGTTGCCTTTACTGGTGGACGGCGGCAAAGGGGGCAACTGCCCTGGGCCAGAGCCACTGGCACTGTTGCTGCAGAAGGGTGGTGGGCAGAGCTTTAAATCTCTCCTGGCAGAGTCCCGGGCAGTGTGCTCCTTATGGCACTGGGGGATGGTGCGGTATAGCCCCGCCCATTCTACCTGTAGCCCCGCCCCTTCCAGGAGCATGGAGCTGCCCCCCCACACCTGTCTGTCGGCTCTCCTGCCAACTGCTGTTTGGCCCAACGCGGCACAGAGCAGGGCAGGGGGCTGGCTCTGCATTGCCTCGACAGGGAGACCAAGGAGCCAAGTGTTTGTTCATTTCTGACCCCCGAAGCTTTATTCCTGGGGGTGTCAGCCCTACGGCTGAGAGAATCCCCCCTGCAGACAGTGCCAGGCCCCTGGAGGCGAGCGTCACCCGCCTTTCCGGAAATCACAGCTGGACCCCAAAGCGCAAAGGCCGAGTTCCAGCCCAGCTGCATTTACATTGCTACGTTGGGGCTCCTCACAGGCTCCCGAGCTATCTGCACGGGGGGAACATCAAGTGGACGGGACCCTGCGTTCACAGGGTTGCCAGCTAGAAACCACGCCCTCGCCCCGGTCCGCTGGCGGCTTTGCGCTCCAGGACACAGAGGGCCTGATCCTGTGAGGGCCGGATAAAGTCAGTAGCCCTCATGGCCAGAGGAAAACAGCACATGAAAAGCCAAAGACCCGAGACAGGAACATACCTGGGTCTGTTTGTCCCTCCCTCACTGATTTCCAGATGGCCCTGTGCTAGTCACCCTCCTTCCACCTTCCCAGCCAACTCCTGTGTGGCCTTCATCTACCTTCAGCCTGGGCAGCCAAGGAACCTGCAGGCAGCTCCTTCTCTTCCCTATTCCCTGCTGCTTCTGCTTATCTAGCATGGCCGCCCTCAGTCTCCCTTAGTTGGTGCCTCTCTTGTTCCTCCCCCGCTGGTTCCAAACTTCATCTGCAAACGCCTCTTTCCTCCCACTGCCTCATCGTCTCACTCCTCCAGCAGGGCTGGCCTTCAGTCTACCTGCCGCCTGCCCGCCCCTTCCCCGTGGGCTGACCATGGCGCCGCTGGCGTCTATCGTCTCCGCTCACCTGTCGTAGAAGTCATCTCTGTAGTAGTCGTAGTCGAAGTCGTAACCACTGTAGAGACAAGAGGATGGAACACTGATTAATTAGCATCCGCGCTGTCACTGTGGTGATGAATATGGGCCTGCCACCCACTGACCTCACAGGAAACATTCGACGTGATTAAAAAATCCCAACCCTTCAGCTTCATGTTCTAGAGCAGGGTTTTCCAGGTGGGAATGTAGCCAGGCTGTCACCGTGGGCCCTGGCTGGAGCACGGAGACACAGGAACTGCCAGCCTGCTCCACAAAGCTCAGTATCTTGGCTCTGATGGTGACCAATACCAGTTGCTTCATATGAAGGTTTAAGAACCCTGTAATAGGCAGGCCGTTGTGGGCTAATCTACCCCCATGAAGGTCTCCTTCTAATCCCTATGGGCATGCCTACACTGCAGGGCAATGGGCGAATTAAGCGACGCAACTTCAGCTACAGCAATTGCGTAGCTGAATTGAAATAGCTGAATTCGGCTTTTGGCGCTGTTTACACAGCAGGAGGTCGAGGGAAGAACACACTTCCTTCAACTTCCCTTATTCCTTGTGAAATGAGGGTTACAGGAGTCAGAGTAAGAAGTCTGCCAGCTTGAAATTTTGAAATAACAAGTAGGCGTCCACACAGCAAGCCGTTGTTTTGAAATAATAACGTCAGTTATTCCAAAATAACACTGGTGTGGACGTACTCTATTAGGTTGACTGGGTTAAACCAGAATTGTGAGATCTTTTCCCTTTTCAGGACTGGCTGTCTGCATTCACTGTTGTAACATCAAGTTATTTGCCTCAGCGTCACCATGTGGCAGTGAGTTCCACAGGTGAATTAGTCATTGCATGAAAAAGTATTTCTTCCTCTATTTTGAGCTGGCCCTTTGGACTTTCACTGATTGTCCTGTTGTTCTTGTGAGACAGGGAGAGCAGAAGTTTCCAATCTGCCTTCTCTGTCCTCGTGATTCTATATACTTCTGTCACGATGCCTCTGAATTGTTCCTGTCGGGTAAATAGTTCTCAACTTTTCACTCTGTCTATGAGCTCTGAAGGTCACATTCTGCCCTCATTTGCATGGTGTACGTCAGAGGCAATACTATTTACGGCAGTGGAGTTACTTCTGTGAAAAATTGGTGCAAGTGAGCTCTGAGTCAGACTCAGCCTTTTCCCAGCACATACGGATCTGGGTCAGCACAGCCTTGTTGGGGAGAGAAACATGTAGGTTGCTTCAGATGATTATCCAGCTTCTCCTTCTCATCTCAGGTTTTACCAAGCTGGTGCAATAGCCTCCTCCTGCCCTGCTCCTTCCTTGTAGTGCTGGCTGAGTGACCCTCTCTCAGGCCATGTCTACATTTAGGCAGAAATTCGATTTAAGCTACACAACTCCAGCGACATTAATTGTGTGTCTGGAGCTGATGTTCCTTAGTTTGAACTTTGGCGCCGTCTCCACCGAGGGAGGTTGAGGGTGCAAACGCTCCCATCAACTTTCATGACTCCTCGCGATTTGACTCCTCCTTTACTAGACCTGCTAAATCAAACTCGGGAAGATCAACCGCGGAAGCGTGAATTTTCCAGGCAGTGAAGATGTGACCTTAGGCTTTGTGTTTTATTCTCCCGCTTTGCTTCCACCGCTCTGTGCCAATTTCTCCGTGCTTGTGCCTCGCAGATTATGCACATGGTCCTAAGCTGCTCCAGGGGGCTTTGGCATTTCTCTCCATGCCTGGGCTTTACTGCACAGCTGCCCTTTGCCATGTTTAGCCTGAATGTGGACTCATTTCAATTTCCTTCCCCAGCCTCCGTCCCTGCCATTTCAATATGTAGAATGCTTATTAGTGAAGCTACTCAGTTCTGCCCCAGCACTCTCATTACACCTGCTCCTGATGCGTTTATAAATGATGTTGACCTTTTCCCTGATTACTTTCCTCTTTGCAGAGCTGTATCTCCCAGCAGGCACTGCCAGAAAGCAAAGACAAGATCCACTTCTAAATGCTTCTTTCCTCCCCACGTCCTGGGAAATATTGGGCCTGCAGCTTGCCACCTGCTTAGCTCCTGCATAGCCTGAGGTCAGAGAGAGACCCTCACCCCAGCTGGGGAAGGAGGATGGAAGTGGCCGTCTGCTTATCGGAGGCAGGCAGGTCAGAGTTGGGAGGGTGACCTGTACTAGGGAGGGTAGGGGAGTAGCAGGTGATCTGCAGAGGAGCGGGAAGTTGGGGGGCTAGAGGTGCTCTGCTGTGGGAGGAAGGAGGCAGGGGAGCTTGTCTGCTTTGTCTGGACTCGGTGACCGCCTGAGGTCTCTTCCAACCCTAGGATTCTAGATGTGCGTGAGGCGCACCCTCTGGCTTGCACCATGGCCCGTGCGCTCCAGCGAGTCCCCATTGTGTAAGGGCTCGTGCCAAAACATCCACGTGCTTTGTGCTCACCCCGGGGGTGCCCGAGCGTTGTCTGAACAGCACGTGCAGTTTGGGGTGTTGCCTGTGTGGAAAGAGGCGTCTGCGCTTTTACACCTGCCCAATGGAAAACACGAGCGTGTTACTCAGAGGGCGGCTCTGGGTGAGTAGGACCCAACCTGAGCGTTCATCCCAGATTCAGAGCCCCCTCCCCCCCGCCCAAGCCCTTTCCGAAGTTCAAAGCCTGCTTAGCTTGGTGTCTCTGCACCAGGGCTCTGCAATTCCTGGTTTGAAGCATGAGCAGAAAGACATAATCCCTGTTTTCAGTGGTGCCCATTTTGGTTGGACCCTTGTCTAGCCTCAGAGCTGACTTGTACTCCGGTGACGCCAGAAGCTGCAGCCTTAAATCCTTAAAGCCTGTGTCTATCTGGACTCCAGTTCCACCTCACAGAGCAGGTTTCTAGCCCTCTGGGTTGTCTCTAACAAAGAACTCGGAATGTGATGGGGAAGAGAAGTCCTGCAGGTCCAGCCTGCCTCGCTGAGCAGATGGACTCTAGCTGCAGGGCAAAGTATGGGGATGCCCCAGTTGCTAAGCCTGGGGGGGAGAAAAGGAGCCCCCATGCCACTGCCCCCTGGGACAGCCTGTGTTGTCTTTTGAGGAAGGATCTAGGTTACTGTCATCAGGCCCTGTCAGCCCTAACCAGAGAGGTTTGGAGAAAGATCTGACACCTGAATGCCCATCTGACAACAGCCTTTCAGAACATTCTGCTTCTAGTTCCAGCAAGTTTGTGGGCCTAGGGCTAGTCAACCCTAGAAAATTGGGCTGACCCAGCTGTGTGAAAAATCCACACCAGCGTGACACCAATAAGCCAACCTAATTTCCTGTGTAGACAGCTCCAGAAGGAGAATTCTTCCACCAGCCTACCTACTCCCTCTCCGGGAGGGGGTTTAACTACACCCAGGGGAACGCCCTCCTGGTGGTGTACATAGTGTCCACACTGATGCCTTATAGTAGCACCTTTGTAGTGTTTCAGGTGTAGACCAGCCCTAGTGTGAGTGAAGGGAACTAGAGAGAAGAATCCAGGCTCTCGTTTGCTGAGCCTCATTACACTCACGTGCTTCGGCATCTCTCCCTAGCATCTAATCACACTTGTTTCTGCATTATCCAGCTCTCCCCTCCCCCGCCCCGCTGTGACATAAGTGTAAATAAGTGTCAGGCTTGTGAAGCAGGAAGGCAGTCGGATTCGGCCGCTTGTCACACTGGAACCATTTGGACCGGCGAGGGGAAGCCAAGTCCAGTGAGTGGGCCGCATGGGCCGCATCTCCGCTCCTTCATCTCAGTGGGCCACAAAATTGAAATCAGTCCTGTGCACTAAGCATGGCCCCAAGAATCCGATTAAATGCACGAATATCTGTCTTGCGGAATATCTCAGCACAGCTAGACGCGCTTTAATCATTCGTATATTAATAGAACTGTCATCAGCTCCAAATCATTAAGCAAAGACACTTTTACATTTACTCTACAGTATCACATCCCCCCTCTCAGCACTTCCGGAGTGCGGTGAAATGTCTGATGTGTGGCGTTCAGGCTCTGGGGGAGGAGCAGGGATGGGACGCGACTCAGCCAATTCATGGCAATGCAGAAGTGCTGGGAGAGAAAGGGGAGGAGGTAAGTGCAGGGCCCTCAGTGCACGAGAAACGGGGGGAAGAGGGCGGTGGGGGTGTGTGCGTGGGACACACATGGAACCCTGGTGGGCCGCATGTGGCCTGTGAGCTGCCCACTGCTGATTTGGACACATAAGAATGGCCGTACTGGGTCAGACCAAAGGTCCATCTAGCCCAGTAGCCTGTCTACCAACAGTGGCCAACACCAGGTGCCCCAGAGGGGCTGGACCGAAGACAATGATCAAGCGATTTGTCTCCTGCCATCCCTCTCCAGCCTCTGACAAACAGAGGCCAGGGACACCATTTTATCCCCTGGCTAATAGCCTTTTATAACCTAACCTCCATGAAATTATCTAACTGGGTACTGGTGTGTACGGCCCTAGGAGCCCAAGAGAGTTAGCTAGCCAACTCCTTTTGAATTCCAGTGGGATCTGGGTACTTCTTTCCCGTATCCGGCATGTACCAAGACATGACCAGAGAAACTAGCCAGGCACTTGGGACTAGATCCCCACCCGGTGTAAACTAACCTAGCTTCTTTGACATCACTAGAGCTACTCCAATTGCCTCCTGCTGGGAACCTGTCCCTTCAGCGGTGGCACTGGACTGGCGGAGGATGGTGAAGGGGCAGAGATTGCTAAGAGGATGTTTCACTCACTGCTTGTCCTGCTGGGATTCCGGCCGTGCTCATCAGACCAACCCGGGGTTGTTTTCTTAGTCCAGCCCCACTTCAGCCAAGATGTGGCAGTTTGCTTGACCAGCCAGAGACCGCGCGTGTGTCTGTGAGGTTGCAGCTACGCTCAGGCACGTTCTTGCCTTTAAAACACCCTGGAGACTTGATAATATTCTCTCCAGCCTGCAGCTGTATTTTGCGAGGCAGGGGGAAGACTTAAGAAGCACAGAAGAGGGAAACACATAAGAAGCCGGCTGGATAGCCTTGTGGTGCGCCGAGGAAAATGCAGCGGCTGCTGAATGTGCCAGGATCTTCCAG